AGGGTTCAAATCTCGTATCGGTTTCGGTATCGCATTCAATAAGCAACCACGATCCTGAGTAGAAGTTGAATGTGTGGCGCGTTTCAAAAAGGGGTTGATTACGGCAAAACTTCATCCTTTATCCTTTCACGCAATCACAGTTATTTTTCCTTCACTGAATGCTTCACTTCTTCCTTGATCCTGGAACTTCTCCCCGTAAATAATCTTCCACATAGGGTCTTTCCTACTCTTCTTCGCAGGCGTCGGATGTTTCAGAATGGGTCCGCAGTCATTCTTTTCCTGATTTCTGACCCTTTTAGGGGGTCGTACTAGAGCAGAAAGTTCTGAGGGGACAGTTTAGCGAAATTTTCCCCCATTGGTAGGTCGTGTTCTGGTGATGTTGGGTGTTCCAGACAGTATATCTCATTCGAGTACCATTTCAGTCTTCATAATGCTCTTATTATGTCCAAGTGTTTCAGAGATGTGCGTATTTTCGCACGTGACGTCATTCCAAGAACGTTCATGGGACTGATCAACTCTCATGACGGCCTCTCAAGATTTGTCAATCAATGGCAGCAGAGTAATAAGGTACTGCTGCATACAATTCCCATTACTTACCGTCTTACTGCTGCTTCTTATTTACAGATATCTGTGGTTGTATTGGGAGCTGCTCCTGAACCACGTATGCGATACCTTCTCGCTGCAATGAAATATTCACATTTTGCTCGATTTGCTTACATTCATCTATCATCGTCATCAGATGAGGTGGGCTAGGAGTTGTCAGTAAGCCGTTCTCGAGAGTTTCGCGAGTAAGAATGTCTTTTACAGGTGGCATCGATCCGTGATGATTTGTCCATCAAGTGCACACAATGTGAAAATGTGCTCATATTCAACGATATTCCTGGGGTAAGTAATTTTTCATGATGCTTACGAACTTGCCCTATTTTCGGGTGTGGAGCGTTACATCCTAATCGCGGCATTGCGCGCTCTTTTTCTTGGCTAGTTGACTAGGCACAGGGAGAGTGCTAGTGGCCTTGAGGACCCATGTACAGCGAGGGAAGACGCGCCTCGGCAAAGCCACTTTGGGTAGGTTGGGTCCTGGTGCGAATACGGTTGCGTTCGTCACTAGCTTGCAAAGTCTGTTTCTTAGCTTTTGCCGCGCCTGGGGATTACGCTGTACACTTCCCTAATTCCGGGGGTCTAAGGCGCACCCTTTCTAGGCGCGTCTTCAGCCTCGAAAGCCGCCACTGTTTTTCCAGGCACTTCTTTTGCTATTTTTTGTTTGTCT